ATTTAAGTTAATTATAAATAGAATGAGGGGCAGGCGGCTAGGGTTATGCATCACTATCCTAGTCAACCTTCTTCTCCTTTTCTTCCCTTTCCTCTGTCTATTGCTGAAACCCCCAACTTTCTCCTCTTCCTTTCACAAGAAGCTTGGCCGAATCAGCACATAAGGCTTTCTACTTATAATACAAAGAGGGCTTGGCGGCCAGAACTAATTCAATTCTGGCCAACATCCCACTCACCTTTTCTTCTCCTCTCTTCTTCTCTACTGCTGAAACTTTTCATCTTCTTCTTCTCTTCTTCACAAGGAATTCATCTAAAACCACTATCGGCAATTTCTACCACAACTATGACACACACACACACATGTATATACACGATTGATGGCATGGCACGATGACCTGTGACACGGAGGAAAAAAATGGTTCGGCCTCCAAGTCAGATTTAAAACATTGGTTAAAATGACCAAAACATTCCTACTATTCAAAAATACAGAAATACATAAAAAAAAAACAGAAAATTCAAACATTGAATCTTTGGAACCAGCATCATCTTTACTTATATAACTTGTGCAAATTTACAAGAAATATAAAAATATTTTGGGCAAACTCCACATACCCCCATTCCATCACTTGACTCCCTAAATTACTTTTTGTGTTAGATCCCCCCAAACTTTAAACACCCCTGCCAGCATTAACAATGAGTGGGCAATTATGAAATTGCCAATTTGTTGTCTATATGTGTAGGTGACCAAGATTTCCACCAATCCCATTTATTCAAAAAAAAATTTAAAAATCCTATAAAATACAGTCATGTAAAATGAAGTACCAAATAACGTCTAAAATCTGGCCCATCAAAATAGCACCCTAAGATCAGTCAATTAATTACAACCACCCAAATAATTTACCAAGATTTCATCTAATCTGGTTCATCCAAATGATGTACCCAATCATTCCAAATATCTAGAGCATCAAAATGGTCCCCTAAGATTGATGAAAATAATCTCAACCATCCATGTAATGCACAGAGATTTCAATTAATAGCACCCATACAAGTAATGCATGAAAATCTCAGAAAAACCTAGGCCATGTAAAGTAACACCTCAAGTAAAAGCTAAGATCTAGACCATCAAAAAGGCCTTAAGAGTTCAGTTAATGAATCTCAACCATCCAAATGGTGTATCAAAATTTCATCTAATCTAGCCTATCTAAATGGCATACCAAGATTTCAACTAAGCTCAGCCAATACAAGTAATACATGACAATCTCTAAAAAAACTATGCCATGTAAAGTAGCATGTCAAGTAAAACATAAGACCTGGACCATCAAAAAAGCCTCCCGAAATCAGTTAATGAATCTCAACCGTCCAAATGGTGTATGAAAATTTTATCTAATCTTAACCCGTCTAAATGGTGTACCAAGATTTGACCTGATTTAGTCCATCCAAATGATGTACCATCAATCCAAAGATCCAGACCATCCAAGTAATATACCAAGATTTCAACAAATCAAGGTCATCCAAAAAATGTACCAAATCAAGATTGTTAAAGCAGTCTCCTAGAGTAGTGGGTTAATATCATCCATCCAAGTTATGTTTTTGCCATAAGCATCCACATAACCTGATATTTTTTCAAAATTCGTACATTAATTGAATGGCCAAGATCATTTGAAATATTGGTATGGTCATAATTAGTTCATAACTTTCAAGAGATCACTTTGGTAGCATAGATTATTGGGTTGATTTATTTGGCTGGCCCGGATTGATTGAAATCTTGTGCATTAGTTACCAACAAAAACAAATCTTGTACATATCTTGGATAGCTGAGATTAATTCACTGATCTTAAAAGACAACTTTGAAGGCCTAGAACTTTGGGTTGATTTGATACACCAGTTACATGACTTTGGTACAACACTTGAAGGAAAAATATCACTTGGCTGATATTAGGAAAGCACATTGATGGACCATATGTATAGTTTCATCTACCATTCCATTTCCATGGCCAACATTAGTTGAAACCTTTGCACATCATTTAGATTTTCAAGATCAGTTGACAGGTTTTGGGACTCCATTTTAACGGTGTAGATCTCTACTTAGAAGATTGTGATTGGAAATATTTTTTAATAATATTAATGAGAAGGGTATAATCATCCTACAAATGAAGAAAAAAAGGGGCTTTCTTTTTTGAAATAAGGTAAGGTAAATTAAATTAAAAGAGAGGAAAATAAAGTACAGGGGTTGGCTCAGCTAAACAAAACATCACAAAGAACCAAAGGACCAGCTGCATCCAGAAAACAGAAGGAAACATAAAAAACACCATTCATGAAAATACTGGGACAACCACCCATCCACACATTAAAAGAGACATGACAGGGCCTCATAAATACAAAAAATGAGTGAACACATTAAGAGCACAGTATCCAGTCGCACAACAGGACCAGCTTCCTGAAAACAATGGAGCTAATCTCGACGAAAGGCTGGATGAAGAGCTCTAGGTGTGATCACACTTTGCATTCAGGAGGCCCCGGCTCCAGAGACACAAGAATCGCAGCCATAAAAAAACATGTCAAAAAGAAGCCTAGCTACCAAAGACAGAGATCTGAACCACCACTCTTGACTCTTCATACCACAATGCTTTCCCCCTTCCTCTCCTGTGAATACTAGAAGTTCCCCTGAAGCACGCCTGCACAAACATGTCACCATAAAAATCTAATAGATTAGAATCAGGTCTTTCTGGGGAAGGGGTCCGGTTTCTAACTCTATTGTAGAAGAAGGAAGGGCATTTGGCAAATATCTGACAAGGCATATGGGCATATTCCATCCATTTTTTGGCAGAATGCTAACACAGTGGGCTATGTGATAATAGGGTTTGTTTCCTTTTGGGGGAGGGGGAGGGGGTATGTGGTTACCCAAATATTTTTTACATAAGGTCAATACTTTCTATTTGAAGTCATGGTTCTTAGATTTTTCTTCTCACCCAACACCACCTTTTTTTTATTGGAAACGGTAACTTTCATTAAAATAACATTAAATACAATAGTATCAACCACTCAGAGCATAAATGTTGACCCCATATGAATCTCAAATCTTACAATAATACAGCCCAAAATAAGCTTTCCCTGAGAGTCCCCTGCTTTGCCAGATTGTCAGACACAGGGTTGGCTGATCCCCTTACCCATTTAAAAATTACTCCCACTTCCCTTGCTAGGCAAAGTATTTCCCTCATCTGTTGTCTAAGAGTCCATACACCCAAGCTTTTTGTCTGCAGCCATCCTATTAGAAGTTTTAAAGTCTCCCTCTACCTCAAGGTTTTGATATCCCCATTGCTTGGCCAATCTCATACCTTGAAGTAGAGACATAACTTCAGCCCTTCAGGAATCTCCCACGCCTATTGGGCCAAAATAAAGTGCCTGCATCCTGCCCTCCCCATCCCTGAAAACTCCCCCAACTCCAGAGGGCCCCGGGTTTCCCAATGAGCTTCCATCAAAGTTCAATTTCACTCTTTGTTGTGCTGCAAGTGTCCAAAGAGGCTGAACCACACTTTGTGCAGCTGAAGAGTTAGACGCTACTGACCATCCCCTTAGAATATCCTCAGCTGAGAAATTTTTGAACATTTCAGTTGCTTTCAGGCATCAGCCAATGTATGACCCTAACAACTATGGATTCAATGACTTGCTCCTTAGTTCTTTCCACTCCTTGGAGTATCCTGTTATTCCTCTCTTCCCATAAAGACCAAAGGATAGCAGCACTAGTTGCCCTTCACATTATTCTGCCTCTTTTCTTTGGTAAAGTGAAAAAAACTCGGATCAAAAAGAGTGGCCACATCCTAAGGAGGAGTCCACCTGCAACCAAACAGAGAAGAAAACCAATTTCACACAAAAGAAGCAAGAGGACAGAATAGTAAAAGATGTGTAATTGTCTCTCCACCACCCAAGCAAAGGCAACAAACATGAGGGGAGAGGCAGCAATTTGGCCTTCTTCTTTGTAGCTTATCCAAAGTGTTGATTTCCTGAAGTACCATTTCCCAACAAAAGGTTCTTATTTTTAGGGGTATCAGGTTACACCAAACTTCCTTTATGGGGAATGATCCTTTCAGATGGGAGGATTGGAGGAGAGCAATGAAAAAGAAAGCACAAGTGAAATAGCCAGATGGGGATACTAGCCAAATTCTACTATCTAAATATTCCCAGCATCTCAAGTAACATTCCTTTTATCATTGGGGCAACCCTTTTATTAGTACAAAGACAAAAGAGATCATGAATAGCAAAAAAGAAGAGATGTCAAAGAGTCCATAAATCTTTCACCACTAGTTATGGTGACATGTACCTAGTAAAATCTTTTGGGCTTAAACTAGCCTTATCTCAGAATTACAAATACTTTAATGGAAAAGTGTGGGACCTTTAGCCTTTCCTATTGCAACGATATTAACAATCTCTACGCATTCATCAACTCTATGTCAACACACAATCTACTTCAAATCAATGATTTAAAAGGCACGCCTCGTGCGCATTTTAGGGCACGCGCCTCGCCTAGGTCCCAGGAGGAGTATTTTTAAAAGGCACACACCTAGTGCGCCTAGGGTTAAGAATTTGAGACCCTAATATGGATTCGTTTGGGCTTGCCTCCAAGGACTTGGTACAAAGGCGGCTCATAGAACCAAGAATGCATGATGTTTAACATCATATTAGCTATTTGAAGTAATGCAATTGGAAAAGAAAAAAAAAACAAAGACATTAAGAGCTTACATGCTTGAATATGTTTTATATGTTATGCTTGATTTTATTTTTAAATATGTTTTACATGTTATGTTTATGTATTTTAATTTGAGATAATAAGTTTTTTAAAGCATTTATTTAAATTTTAAATTTATATTTTTAATTAATAATTTGTTTAATATTTTAATAATTTGCATTTCTTTAATTTGTTGGATTTTTTTGAATTTTTTGCATTTTTGCGCCTTCTTCAAAAAGGTGTACTCCTCAAGCGCAAAATTGTCCTTACACCTTTCGCTTTTAAAACACAACTTCAAACCATACAACATATCTTTTCTACTTAAAAAACACAACTAAATAATTTTTTCCCATTAATATAGGCCCCAGGCCCATAGTAACATTGTGGTAAAAGGTGACCTCCATATTCTTGTTGGTTGGACAAGGTTCCGGTGTGGGGTAGTGGTAGATGATATATCACCAAGGAAGCTAGATCTTTGGCATTCAAGTTGAACCATTCATTCATATGGATTACAAGGTTTGCCAACTCTATATTTGGCAGTCTTATCAATGATTGGCCATTGGGGTAGAACCAGATAAAGGAGACAGTTGCACCAGGGGACTACTTCAATTGGGGGCATATTGAACTTCTGTTTCCCTTGTTAGATATTTTTATAGTCTTTTCACCCTCTTCATTGGTAAGCTTCTTAATAAGGCCTCCCTTTTCTTCATTCTGGGACTAACCTTTTGACTACTCCATTAACATGTACACCTCATGCACCAATAACAAATGCCCATAAATGTTTTCAGGTAGAAGTATTATAATCAAACTTTTGGCTGCCCTTGTTTCTGTACTCTCTTCTTATTCTAAGTAATAAAATTTGATGTTGATTACTGGTAAAAAAAAAGTATAACCAAACCTTTTTTTTTTTAATTTCCAGAAAGTTGATTGAAAAGGAAGGACCAGTTAGCCAAGCAAGGGGCGCTTAAGGAATCTATGTTTTGGGCGAATTTTTAGCTTTCTTCTTTGGTCCTTTGTTGTGGGGGAGTTAAGATAGTTTACCTCCCCTTTCTTATACTTAAAGTTTCACAAATCTTATTATTTAATAAAGCATTTTGTTACTGATCAAAAAAAAAAGGACTAGTGAAAACATACCAGATAAAGAAGGGCTGGTTGTGGTGAATGAGTCAAGATCCCAGCTGCTAAAGCAGCCACCAATCCAATGGCATATCCAGAAAGAGCATACCAAAAGTATTTGTGACCTTTAGAAGAAAATAAATCAAATGTCCCTGTTGAATCTCTGCTCTTCTGATAATCAAAAGAGAGCACTAAAGCAAGAAGCATGGATGGAATAGCCTGCAGAACCAAACAGTCATAAAAACATAACAACTTATTAGAATTCTTACCAAAGGGGAAAGAAAAATAACTTTGATTCTGCAATGGATAATAATGAAATAAACATGTCTGCAGGTGCAAAGACAGCTACATCATTTATAACTAATTCATGATGGCTTCTCCTAGCATACATTACCAGGCATCATATGTCATCTTCAAAAAATTTCAACTGATCATCCCAAATTCAAAGCATATTTTCTTCTGGGTGTGACCAAATCCTTATACATTTTGGACACAATTCATCGGACAAAATAAAGTTAAACCAGAAAAATTAGGTCATAAGCATTGTCAATCAACAACTCATTACCTTTATAATCCAATTAGCTGGTCATATCTTGCATTTAGATAGTACCTAAGTCATACCACATTTTACAATTATAGCAATCACAAGCACCTTTTTATATTCATTGATTACCATCATAACCACTTCATAGTTCATACCCTCAAATTTTCCCTTCAGCATCTTCTCTTTGGTAGCTCACCAGGAATTTGACTAATTTAGCTGCAGGTTGGTTAAAGTTTCCGATCAATGTTACTTTTCCCTATTAACCAACAAACAGGTCTCGTTGAATGAAAGAGTTGGATATATGTTCATGGACCAAATACCATGTATGCTGCCTCAGAATTCTTGCAAGGTTTGAACAAGAAGGGCAAAGCTGCATGAAACATAGTACCTACATCTGTTTTTGGGTTACATGGCAGGAAAGGAGCAGAAGAAATTTCCAAAAGAACATTGCAAGGTCAAAGCTCATTTGTTGTACATAATACTCTTTTTGTAAACAGTCATGGATCAATATGTCTAGAGAAAATGGGAAAGATGTTTTTCATATTTCCCATTGTACAACCTCTAGTTGTACAGGGGTTTCTTTTATTAATGAAACTCCACTACAACCTGCCTTTTTCTCAAAAAAAAAAAATGTAACTTGTGTTATCTACTTGTCTCCGTCTTAACCAAGATATGTTGCTCTTACCATAGTTTTAAATGTTGGTGAAATGTTACAAGATTTTGGTTTCAAACATAATTTCAGCCACCATCTGATGGTAGCTCAGTTGGTAGGATCTCAGACTCATTGTAGCAGAGACCTGGGATCAAATCCTGCTACCACCAGGGTTCGGGGGTTAAGGAGATGGGGGGCGGGCTACCCCTCATTGTGAAGCCCCATGAAGCAAAAAGAAAAACAAAAAAAAAAACAAAAATTCAGCCATTCATATTGCCCAAAAAGTTGGTTACAAAAATTATATAAATTTAAAATATTATTATTAAAATAATTAAAATTAACAAAAAAATGTTCAAATTAAAAAAAAAAAGAATAATTGTGGATCAGGGATCTGAAATGACTGAAATTTCCAAAATTTAAAACCTTGCCCATTAAATTACTCATCATTATATAATATCATTTCCATTTAATTTCTAATGTATTTATTCTTAATTAGTATAATCTTTCAGAGAATTTTGTTAAATTAAACAAAAATTGTACAAATCTAAACTATAGTCATCACGGTAGCAAGGTGAGACTAGGTTACAAGGCAATAACTTGTTGCCTAAGTACTTAGGTGGACACATAGACACTGGTTACATAGCGGGTTCTTTGATCCACATTAAAATCTGCCATGTAGATTTTTGGCCTCAATTAAATTGAAGAATATGAAGGATGGTTTTATTGGGTATTATCCTATGGATATGGACCTATAATATTGGAAGGAAAGAAGTGAGATGTGGGAAAAACTTTTTGCAATTAGGGGTTGGTGGGGTGGTCCTTAGTGTCAAGGTGGATATTTTAATATGATTAGATTTTCAAGTGATTCGAGTAATTCTTTTCTTTTTTTTTTGAAAGTTTATGGAAATTTTATTGATTGAAAACTTTATATACAAATTTACATCAATACACAACAGAGGCTTAAACCTCTCCCCATACATGTGTATTACAACACAGTCCAAAACATTTGATCCCTCATAGCCCCTTGTCTAGCTAGACTATCGGCCATATTGTTGGCTGATCTCTGAACCAACTGCACCTTGACTGACATACTTCATGACATCACTTTAATCTTTTTAAGTTCATTCTTCTACTTCCAAAGAGCCTCTTCCTGATTTTCTAGCCATCCTATTACCAGCTTCAAGTCCCCTTCAATTATCAAACTTTGTACATTCAGTTCTTTTGTCTCCTAACACCTCCTACTACAGCCATCACTTCTACTCTCAATGAATTTCCAACACTAATCAGCCCTGAAAACATTGCTACTACATGGCTTCCCACATCCCTAAACACCCCTCCACCGCATTGCCCCAGATTTCCAAGACAGCTTCCATCAGAGTTTAGTTTAATGAAATTCACCTGTGGAGGTGACCATTCTTCATAAATTAGGGTTTTTAACAAAGTGCTATCTGCTATTTACTTCCAATTCCTCATAAATAACTGAGAAAGAAGAAAACATCCTTGAACATTGTGCCCCATGCACCCTCACACTATAAATGCATACAAGTTCTTCAAGCTTCTCTCCTGCTCCTGAAAAATTATTCCATTCCTTTCTTCCCACACAGTCCATAAGAAAGCAGCACAAGTAAATCTCCACATTATTGTTGCTCTCTTTTTTGACCATTGATCTGAGCATGATGTTAAAAAGGTCAGCCACCTTAGCTGGGTCTGTCTACCTGCACCCAAAAAAGAGAAAAGAAACATTTCCAAATTCGAGTAATTCTTGTCTACAAATCTCAACTAGCATAAGAAAGTTCAATGATTTCATAACATTTGTAGTTGAAACAACTCCCCCAATGATTTAATAACATTTGGATTGGTAATTTTGCTCTTAGGGATCTCTTACCCACTTTATACTCTATTTCCCTTTATAAAAAAGAGGTTTTCTTGAATTTCCTCACTCCTGTTACTCCTTAGGGGCTGAATTGGAATTTTGGTTTCTGTAGAGGGATAAGGAAGGAGGATTGCAAGGACTTTGGCAAAGGTTAACCTCTAGTATGATTGTAAGGATTCTTTGGCAAAGGAGATCAGCTAGTGGATTAGCAGATTTTCTAGCTAAACAATGGATATATAGGGAATCTATGTTTTGGGCTCAATTGTAAACTGATTTGTTTTTGAGGCTGCATCTCGTGCCTCCTTTTGGGATGCCTCTTTATATACTATCTGGTTTAATTAATGAATGAATATGGCATCAAGGATACAATAGGTTAAAGATCGGAAAATGGGACAGCTCATACTTCAGCAAAGCAAGGGGTTAATAGGGAATCTTTGTATTGGGATCAATTGTAATCTGATGTCAAGTCTTTATGAGAGGGTGTACCTCGTTCCTCTCTAAGGAGTGCGTGTATATATATACTTTGATGTTTCTTTAATAAAATTTCAAAGTTATTTATCAAAAAAATATTTAAAAGTCGTGAACTTTTGTATAACAAGAATCCAAGAAAGTAATGTATGCCACGCACACACACACACATGCATGTATGTATGTACTATCTAATATGAAATTGTGGATATCTACCATGTATGCACACACATATAGATACGTGCATATATAGTATGAATTTATGTATCAAAGAGCAGACAAACTACAAATTATTATTTTTTTATGAATACCATTAGATTTTACTAAAAACAGAATAAGAGTTACACCAAGGGTAGCCTCGGTTACCCCTGAAAGTTTAAACATTAAAAACCACCCGACTTTTACGGTTACATCTGAGCCCAGAAACAGATTTCCCTGTGCACCCCCTTTATAGTTTTCTTCTTGGAAGAAGGTAGTGCTGCAATTGTTCTCCATCTCCTTATCAGATCATCATATGTAAAGTCAGAGAAAAGTTTCAGCGATTTAACCCAAAAGATTACTTTGGCTGTACCAATGCTCCTCTACTCCTTTTTCTTCCTTCAAATATCCGCAGATCTCTTTCCTCCCAAAGAGACCAAAGCACAGCTGCCCTTGTGCATCTCCACAGTATTCTGTCCCTTTTTCTTGGCCAACTGAAGGTAGAAAAATCAAACAATCTGTCCAAGCTCTCAGGGGTGTTCCACCTGCAACCAAAGAGAGAAAAAACACTACCAAACACATTTAGCATAAGGACAGGAAATAAGCAAGTGATAGGCAGTCTCACCATTTGACTCACATAAATAACACCAGTTCAGGGAAAGACACCAATCAGGTCTCTTTCTCTGTAACAAACCATGTGTTAATCGCACTATGAAAAACCTCCCAGCTGAAATCCCTCACTTTAGGAGGAATAGGGCGACACCTCACTTCTTTAACTGGGAATGAAGAGCCAACAGAATCAGCAGAAGACAACAATTTAAAGGAGGCACAACTGAAAACACCAGAAGGCTGAGAAATCCAGACTCTACTATCTTGTTTACTGACATCTAAAAAGACCCCATCCAGCATTTGCAAAAGGTTTGACACCAAATCTAACTGAAAATCCCTAACATTTCTGCAAAAGCCCAAATTCCACCCATACCCAGAGAGTGAGGGAGAAGGGGTTAAAAATTATGAGACTAGTACACTTGAAAAAAGAAAGAGCATACAAAGAAGGAAAATACACCCTCAATGGTGCTTCCTCTACCCACAAATCTTCCCAAAATCTGATTTTGTTCCCTGAATTGAGATCATACCTGATATGATTGAGGAATCTTGAAAGGTGCTTTTGGATTGCTTTCCATGGTGATGCACTTGAAGCCCTGCTAGAAGTTCCAGCATCCCAACCATTCCCTGAGAGCCCATGAATGCTGGCTATTACCCTGTGCCACAACCTATTTACCCCCAAAGAGTAACCTCTACAACCACTTTCCTAGAAGAGCCAAGTTTTTCTCTTACAACTCTAAACCCAATCCACCACATTCCTTCCTCCTACACACAACTTCCCATCTAATTAAATGATCTTTCTTGGCCTCTCTCGGTTCCCACAGAAAATTCCTCATTATCTTCTCTAATCTTTTAGCAATTACCACAAGCATGCTAAAGACTGAGAAATAATAAACAAGGAGGTTTGCTAATGTAGTTCCTTTTCCACCCTGCTAACTTGCTTTTAAATCTCTCCACTACTGGGGCCCAAAAATCATGGGATCTAGGGTTTGCACCTAGTGGAAGTCCTAAATATTTCAAAGGCAAATCACTTGTTAAACACCCCAATTCCCTTGCCCACATCTCAATCACTTCTTGCTCTAGGTTAACCCCAGCCACCACACTTTTGTTTAGATTAATCTTCATGTTTGTCACTCTCTCAAACAGATTAACTAACATTCTTAGGTTTCTAGCCCCTTCATCTCCCTCATTCTCACAAAAGATTATTATATCATTTGCAAAATGTAGATTTGTTACCACTACCCTATCCCCCCGTACTCTCCATCCTTTTATTAGGCCTAATTCATCTGCTTTCAAAATCAATCTACCAAACACCGCTATGATAGTAAAGAGAAAAGGAGATAACGGGTCACCTTGTCTAACTCCTCTTAAGGCTCCAAAAAAACCTTTGACCACCCCATTCACTAACACTAAGAAGTGGCTACTTTGTAGACACCCCTTCACCCACTTGCACCACCTTTCACCGAACCCACATCTCCTCAATACTTCAATCAAAAATCCCCAATCTACCATATCATAAGCTTTCTCCATATCCAACTTACATACAATTCCTTTTCTCCCCAAACTGCTAAGGTCTTCCACACACTCATTAGCTGGAAAACCTATTCAAGATATTTGTATTTAATCCAATCAGCAAAGGGAAATTTTTTTATGGAGAAATACTAGGGCAGCAGTGTTATGGATGATTTGTGAAAAAGGAAATGCAAGATTCTTCAATGATAAGAGACTCCCAAGTCCCAAAGGAGGTTGTTAATTGTTATAAAGAGAATCACAATGAAAGTAGTAAACGCTGGGTACAAACATCTACTCTATTTGGACCCCTCTCAAAAGATGATATTAGAGAATTGGCTGAACATGGAACAAGCTTCATCTTCATGGCTTGCCACCAAAGAGGATTGGCAACCACCAATTAATATCTATATTAGAAAGAGAAAGAAGGTAGGTGAGTGGTCATCTAGTCATAAAGTTCACACACTCCTACTCCTCTCATTTTTCACATATGTGATTATCTATTTTTAATTAAATTATAAAAAAAATGTAGGAAGTTACAATAAAAATCCTTTAGGTCCTATTTTTTCTAATAAAGTTCATCATTACTCTCTCTAATATCACTCTAACAAAATCATTCTTAGCCCCCCCCCCAATAGTTAATGTTTGTAACATCTTCCCTCCCCTATTAAATCCCTTTTTTTCCTCTTAAGCTATGTTTGGTTTGAAGCAAAAAGTAGGGAAATGAAAGGAAAGTTAGGGAAACCTTCACAAATCTTGTATAGGTTTCCCTACTTTTTCCTTTAAACCAAACATAGCCTTAAATCTATGTTGACCCAATTTGACTCTATTAGTAAAGAAGGGTATAAATTAGATGGGTTTAGGTCAGGTTAAGAGCCAACCCGACCTTAAATATGGAACCTAGCCTGAATCCAAACTAATGTTAAAACCCAAATTTGCCAACCCAAACCTAACCAAACTTCTATTCAAGCACATGCGTTTGCATGGGTTTGCTTGCTAGTACCAAATAATACCAAGCTGAACATTTATGGATGCAGTATGAGGAATATAGGTAACTCAGCCACAGGAGGTACTTTCAGAAACTACAATGAGTGTATAGAGCCATAGGAATTGCAGACTAGGTCAGAGCCAAATTACTTGCTATTTTACAAGGATTGAAGTTCGGTAGATTAATGCAACTCAGAAACATAGTGGTGGGAGGTGACTCTAAAGTAATAATAATAATAATAATAGGATGGCTACAGGATGAAGATTAAGCAGCATTCCTCTCATGTACATCCTTCCTTTTATCAAATGAAAGGTTATCATTTCTCAAAAAAAAAAAAAAAAATTAAGATCAAACAACCTAACGGCATAGGCACATTCTGTGAGAGATAAAGCAATTGGCAACAGGTATGGTGATTGATGTAGTTCAGCCTTCTACAGCAATATTCCTCTCATGTACATCCTTCCTTTTATCAAATGAAAATTTACCATTTCTTAAAAAAAAAGATCAAATAAACTAGCAGCATGGGCACATGCTGAGAGATATAGCAATTCGCAAAGGTAGGGTGATTGATGTAGTTCAGCCTTCTACAGCAATAGAAGATACAGAAAATTAATTTTTTGAGAGATTTGAGCATCTCAGAGTTGCCAAAACATATGAAAGGAGGAAGAATCAATACTTGCACCAAGATTAGGAAGCTGACACCTGACAGTTTTTTCCTTCTATGCCAACTAGAAGGTTAGTTGCTTAGTTTAGCAGCTTTCTATATCATTGAAATATTAGCTTCTATGTTAGAAGTTATTATTTTCTGGTTCTTATTTTTGGTGTCTTAGTGGTTTCTAAGTCCTAGGTTTCTAATTAGAAGTTAGCTGCAATTGCAGAATTTCCATTCCACTCAGGAAAAAGAGTTCTATAAATACATGTAATTCTGTTCAAATAAGGCACCCAATGCATCAATGAATTAAGTTTTCTTCTTTCTTAGACATGTCTACTTCTTTATTCTCTTTAAATTAGTTTTGGAGAAACACATGATTTCTTCTCTCTTTGTTATTTTCTGGCAGTTCTTTGCTACTAGAAGAAAACCAGCAAAATAACCTCCCATGCAGCATAGCATGTGGCTACAAATCATTGCATTGCTATAGATGTTGCTAAAACACCATCTTCCATGTATGCAAGAAGTCGCAGTTTAATCACTGAAGAAAATAAAATGTCATACCATGTCACCAAGCCCAAGCATCATGAAGTCTGACGTGTTGCCTCCGGGAACCATTCCACCCAACAAATCCCTGGGAAATACAATCTTCACCGGCAACTCCAGCTTCTTGGTTATCATCTGAAGCCCTGGAAGGCTCAAACTATTTGCAACAGTGTGAACAGGATTAGACGCTTGTTGTGTAGCAACGGACACCATAACATTTGCTCCAAAGAACCTCTCGGAGAAAAAAACCCAGAATATGTCATACACGAACAGGCAAACGAGCAGAATTACACATATTTTGATGTTTGGAAGGCGGACATGGCTAACAAATGCAATACAAATAGAGATGCCAAGCAAGTTGTTCAGCACCCAGTGCCCAGAGACAAGCCATGCTACGACGATTCCAATGCACACCAAAACCAGGATCCCTTGGCTTCGAGTGAACGATTTCGAACAGCATCGAGAAACATAAGGATCCACCAAGCCGAATATTGACCTGATATAAGTGACATAAGGGTAAAGGCAGAAGAAGAGGGAAGAGACCGAGGCCACGGCCGTGAACGCAGTGAGAAGCTGCGAGACTGATGAGAACAGGTAGAACATCAAAAGCAGGCTGCAAGAGCTCAATATAGGGATCATGAGCGCTTGGGACCCATCCAATGTGATGGACGCCTCCGACAAATCACGGTTTCGTTCCATGTCTTTCCCGTAATTCAGAGCTCGAAATGCCGATCCGAAGGTTACAGCTACTGCAGTCAAAATGAGAGTGACGGAGGCGGGCTCGAGCAAATAGGCGAGCTTCCATAGCGGTTCCATTATAGAATAAATAAACGTTTCTATTCAAATTTAAATAGTTGATTCGTTATTCCCCGCAGAAACTAAAATCCCGTGAAGAGGAAAACCCTAGAAATATCGTGTTCCTTGCTGCATAATTTCTCCGGTGTAATCTGAACAGGAGAAATTCATGCAACCTGCAAAACAAACAACAGAAAAGAAAGTGAACACACAAGTGACATGCAGGAAAAAAAAAAGAAAAAAGAGAAAATTACCTCAAAAAACAGTGCAATAACGAATGCAACATCCAAAAGCAACTAAGAGCAATAACTCGTACAATCTGTAAACACAAACACCTGAAAGAGAAACTAATGGTAGAGCATAGTTTCGTATCAAACATTCAGAAACAGGTAAAAGCTACTTCAACCAAAATACAAGGAATTTCCAAAAATAACTTGTCTTCAATCAAGAACTTTCAGTTTTGCTGTAAGAAGTGTTTTGTTGACACTTCAAATCCAACGATCTATTACTCCTACTGATCTTTTTCCCGAAAAAAAAAAAAAAAATCAATAACGAGTTTAAGCGATCAAGCACGAAACCAACGGGAAAAGAATGAATTGACAGATTCCTAAACACCCAAATATCTGGAATTACAGAACTTTGAAGCTGAAACCGCGATGAGATGATGAAAGAAGCGATCGAGAAAATAGCAGAGGAATTGAAATCTGTTCAAAGACGGGAGTTTTGGGAGGACTTACCTTTTGACCTGAAGAGTGTTGGGAGAAGGTTTCGTAAATTCAAGACCCTACCCTCTTTTTTTGGCCCGGCCCGTTATTACTCTCCGTATTAGACATGTTGATTTGTTGATGGGTAAGAATCCAAACTCTCCTTAGTAGACATGTTGATTGGCTGATGGGCGGGGTAGCCCGACGAGCTGGCCCGGCCCGTTATTTTTCGGACTTGCACAAAACTTCAGGTTCAGGTTTCAGGCCTGTGTGATCGGGTTCGGTTTCGAGCATGGGCTGTAATTAATAGGCCCGACTATGCTGGGCAGTCCAGTTCGAGCCTGAGCCCAGCATTATACTATTACATATAATTAAAAAAAGGTAAATTTCAAATTAATACCTTGTCCTTAGAGGTACAAATGAATCGGGTCATCGATTCGAAATCCGATCTTATTTGGTTGAATTTGGATCACCCCTATTTGAATTTTTGCATCGAATTTGGATCCCTTATCCGATTCGAGAAGATCCGATCCGATATTATATATTTATAAATATAAATATATATAATACATATATATACGTTATTTATTTATTTAT